TGCCCCTCTCTCATGCCCCTCTCTCTTGCCCCTCTCTCATGCCCCTCTCTCATGCCCCATCCCAGCCGCTCAGAGCGAAGAGCGCGAGTGTGCCTACTACGACCCGCAGCAGCAGCTGGACGAGCAGCATGTGGACGGCGTGGGCCACGTCTTGCGGGAGAACACCACGGTGCGCTGTGCCAAGGGCAGCCACTGCTACGGCCTCTGGGGGAAGGCCCGCGATGGAGACATTCGATTGGTCAAGCAAGGTAGGCGGCGGCCTCCAGGAGCCATCTGATTGGGGGGCTGTGGTGACATCGCTGTCTCTGTGACGACGTGAACTGTGAACACCACCATTGGGGATCCCATGAAGCCGCGCTATTGTATTTTAAGAAATTACAAATACCAGAACACAAATCACTGTGATCTCAGTTTGTTTTATCTGGGCTGGGGTAGGAATTGACAAATAAGGCCTTGTCCACACTTACACGGGTATTATTAACAAAACGGAGCTTTTGTAAAACCCCATCCAGGGTGAAGATCTTCAGAAACTCCGTCTTCAGTGTTGACATGTAGACAGTTTTTGACGTCAAATTGTGTGCCGTTGTCCGCTCCGTTTGACGTCAGAGTGTGCGGCGTTCGCCGTTTACTAGGGGTGTAACGATATACTCAACCCCCGAGATGAGACACCATAATGGGTTCACGAGAACGAGACGATATTTTAACAATATTTTAAAGGAAACTTCAAAGAGGAAATATATTTCTGGAAAGCAGCCTTTTATTTGATTAATTTGAAAGACAAAAAATGCTAAATATTGAACGCGCTGCTTCTCTGTGAAATGTTTCAAATAATCACCATCATCATATGCAGTAAAGAACAGAACAAATATCTAGCACCATAAAATATTTCACCACAAACTCAAATGACTCCTGTTTGACTTCTCAATTGAACATAAAATAGAATATAAATAAAACAATATAAATAACAAACATAAAACTTATTTTTAATGTTTTCTTCACCGGTGCAGTGGATTTAAGTAAAGAGCGATGATGGTTCTGCAAATGGCTTTGCATAGCATTAGCATTAGCATTAGCCGCTGTGTACGGCATTATTTTCCTACAATGCTTACAGATGCTTCGTGTTTTGTCTGTCACCCTTTCGCCGTTTATATTTTCCGCCGGGTCCCCAAAATGCTGCCACACAAAAGATATAAAAGTGTCTGGGGCGTCTACTATGGTCATTTCGTCAGACACCGACATGCTTACAACAGCCAAGTTGCAGCGCCTTCGCGAGAAATCTCGTCATGTTGTGATATCGCGTTACACCCCTACTGTTTACGTTAGCCGTTTTTAGCCTAGCAGACCTGGTAATAAGGCTTCTGATTGGCCAACATGGCAACATGTTGGTTTGGCTTGCTCTTGACAGCGCGTTTCAAAAACGTTGTTTTTAAAAATACCCATGTACTTGTGGACAAGGCCTAAGTAAAAGCAGTGTGGGATAGAAAAGCAGTTTTGCTTGTGTGTCGGCGGAGGGGATCGCGGGGCAGATACAGAGCATCCACGTGTCTGACAGGCCAGGACCCGATCCCAGGCCCCCCCCCCCTGCTCACCCCCACACTGTGGTCCGCAGGCTGCTGGACCCACATCGGCGACCAGCGGGAATGCCACAACCACCGCTGTGTGGTGACAGCCACGCCCCCCGCCATGCAGAACGGCACCTACCGCTTCTGCTGCTGCAGTGGAAACATGTGCAACGTCAACTTCACGGAGAACTTCCCCCTGCCCAGCCCGACCAGCGCCCAGCCGCTCTGTGAGTGCCGTCCCGTCAGGCGCTGCTGCTTGATCATTGTGGTTTCTGCTCATGTGTTGTGATGTTTGGTCACATTGCGGGAAAGGACACAGGCTGTCCCGGCTCTGGCTGCGCTGCGCTTGGAGACCTGACTGTTCTCGCCCCCCCCCCGGAGGAGTGTGATCTTCCTCTGGGGGGAAAAAAAAATGGGCCAGATGGATGTCTTACACCCCCGGAATGATGCTTCTCTGTCCTGGCTGCCGCTGTCCTGTGCAGCCTCACCGATTCATCTGTCCCCATCAAAGGGAGTGAGGCATGGAGGAGCTGCAGGAGGAGGCTGAAAAATCACTCGCCTGGAGACAAAACACACTCTGCTACCCACCTCCTTCACTCCTCCATCCCTCCCTCCCTCTCCCCCTCCCTCCCTCCCTCCCTCCCTCTCCTCTCTCCTTTTTCTCCCGTTATGTGGTTCGCTGGCTCTGAAACACTTCGCTTCAGTCGCAGGGGAAAATAGCATCAGGCAGGCAGCAAAGGAAAAAAATGGAGGGAATAATGAAGGGGTGGGACTTGCCTAAAGGGGTGTGGCCTGCTGGCTGATAGGCTCAGAGTGGATTGTCTCTCTGTGATTGAGACCTTATCACCAGTAAACAACCACGTATTGATTTTGACGTGTCGGGGGTAGACATCGATTGTTTAGAAGTCGAGTGGGCAGCGTGGATTATGGGTAACTCCCCTGAAATGGATTTTTGATTAAATAATGTGTGAACATGTTCGTGTGAGACAGCCCCTCTGCTCTGGGGCAGTGTGCAGGATGCGGGGATCCACTGCATCAGTGGGGTCAGGCAGTATGTACACACACATAGTATACGGGCGAGTGAGTGGATATGGGCTTTCACAGAGGCATGCTCTCACTGCCGCTCAGACAATGGGCTCCCCCCACCCCCAGAGGCAGGTTCGAGCCGCCCCCCCCCCCCTTCCTGAAGATAAACAGCTCATTAACCGCTTTGTCTTCCTCCCCCGCCGTCGAGCAGGAATGGCAGCCTCCAGATGTGATGAGGTCTAATGCTGGGCATGTTCTTGCTGGAGGGAATGGAGTCGGGCCTGGAATTAGGAGGCGTCTCGGTGGGGTGCTGGGCACCCTCTGCACTGGAATGTATCCAGTGTGGGGCTGGGCTGTGATTTATAGGCAGTTTATGTTGGAAGGGTAATCCATCATGGGGCAGTTGGTGCACGGTGTGTGTGTGTCTGTGTGTCTGTGTCTGTCTGTCTGTCTGTGTGTGTGTCTGTCTGTCTGTGTGTGTCTGTCTGTCCATGTGTGTCTGTCCGTCCGTCCGTGTTTGTGTCTGTCTGTCTGTCTGTGTCTGTCCGTGTGTGCGTGTGTCTGTCTGTCTGTTTGTGTGTGTGTGTGTGTGTGGATAGTACCTACCAGAACCTGCACAGTCCTCCTCAACACCCATCATTACACCTAGCAGCTCAGCGGGGTTACAGGCAGGTCGCTGACTGATACACTAACTTTGAACCTCACCCTGTTAAGCAGGGCCTGTCCTTTGGCTGAAATGTAGGGGGCAGCATTGGAGCCTCTTACTCACGTCCTTCCAGGCTCTGCACATGAATCCATTTTAGATGAGGCAGTAAATAAGGATGGGGTCCTTTGCTCTGGTTTTGTCTGACTGCCACCCCCAAAGTTGATTTTTATACTGTAGCCTTAACAGTAGTCTGGGGGGGGGAGGGGGGGAATCTTGTGTGTAATGTTAAATTACGAAAGCTGGGTGTTGTTCATGGGAGAAAGAGGTACACAGCCTGGTATAATGTCCCCGCCCCCCCGCAGTTACGCTGTCGTTTGTTTTGCTCACAGAGGTGTTGACCGCGTGGGCAGGGCTGCGAGTTACAGCATCACAGCCGCCCGCTCTGCCGCTGCCCCCCCCCCCCCCTTCTGGCTGGCTGCCTCCCCGCTGGCAGTCGACCAGCGAGACGTGCAGTGAACACGCACGCGAATGCCATGGCCACCTTAAACGCCCGTTTACGCTCACGTGTACACGCTGCTCCAGCTCTGTGGATGGTCTCTAATGCCTCTCCGCAGGTGGAGGGGGCGGTCTGCTGGTGAAGGAGGCAGGGCTACAGAACAGTGCTCCATTCATTCGCAGAAGCAGGTCATGGCTGCATGCCTTCCTGGAAAAGCAGCCTCTCGTGCGCCGTCACCTGAGTCGCCATGCGAGGCAGCAAGCCACCCACCGGGGCTAAGGTGTCCCGGCCTGCGTCTGGAGCCTGCCCGCACCCCCACAGCCTCGCACTCTAGGGGGCGCCGCTGTCTCCAAGGCGTGGCGGGGCGTGTGCAGACGAACACCCCCGCACGCACACGCCTCCCAGACGAGACGGGATAGCCCGCCCCCGCGTCTCCTGCCGCTGATCGAGATGAGCGTGTGACAGAGCCACGGCGCCTCCCAGAGGGCGTCAGAGCGAGAAGCTGGGCTCCGGGATGTGGGCTGCTTCTGCAGTAACCCATATACCCTTATTACCCGCTTCTGCAGTAACCCATATACCCTTATTACCCGCTTCTGCAGT